AATATATAATTTTAAATTTGTAATTTATAATTTAACAACACTAAATTTTTTTAATTTATAAGGCCATAATTTTTAATTTATTATTTTCAATTAAATTAAATTTATAACTTATAATTTATATTTTTTTATTTAATATATAATTTTAAATTAACAACACTAAAAAAATAATTTAATTTAATATGTAAATTTAATTTTTTAACAACACTAAAAAAATTTAATTTATAAGGCCAAAATTTATAATTTATTATTTTTAATTAAATTTAATTTATAATTTAAATTTTTTATTTAATATATAATTTTAAATTAACAAGACTAAAAAAATAATTTATAAATGTTCAAAAGACTATTACCATTTTCTAATTGTTTGCTAAGTAATAGAATGAGGTAAAATAGACATTTCAGAGCCTAATCTCATGGGATACCAATCCCATGGAAACAATCCCATCTCCCATGGGACAGGATAGTCCCACAAATATGAGACTAATCACTATTAGTCCAGAGCAAAAAAAATAAAACAAACAATGGATTACTATTAGTCCGGTGGGATTAATAGTCCAATTCCACACCCTAATCCTTCAAAAACAAACACACCATAAGAGTTACATGGGTAATTATTCAGTAATTTTAGAATATAGATATGTGATATTTTATAGTATTATAATTGATGAAAAAGATGGGTATGTGAGGTATTGTATCGAATGATTGAGGAATATGAAAAGACTAAGGGTTGGTTTGGCATAACCTATATAATCCATCTTTTTATCTTTTTTTCATCACATCTCCTCTCTACTTTTCTGTACATCTTTTCGTAAAAAGATAAAAAATACACTTTTTTAAGACACTCCAACCAACCCTAAATAAATTCTGATTGATTAGAAGCACACTTTTTTAAGACACTCCAACCAACCCTAAATAAATTCTAATTGATTAGAAGTACAAACACGCAATACTACAAGAATAGACTATAATTTCCCGAGCTACATAAGTCCGTACCCAATGGTTTATTGGATAAATTATCGTTGTTGGAGTGCATTTAAATACCCACATAAAATTTCTATCTATACCGACATAGTCGCAAAAATGGCTTTGTTCACATACTGATAAAATATAATACGACGAAATTGGTATTTATATAGGAACTTGATTAAATGGGTTAATCACGTCAAATTCGTATGACATGAGGTTGTCGCTGACGGTTGAAAATAAATAAATAAATAAATAAATAAAATCTGCAATGCAAAGAAAGTAGTTGTATTTGTCAAACTAACCTATAATTCATGGTTATGTAATGCATAAGTGAGTCACCAATCTATAAAAAGGAAAAGAAAAGGTGAGATCCACCCTAACATAACAGTAAAAAGCTAATAATCAATAATAAAAGTATAAAAGCCATTGACTTTTTGTTCATTTATGTTTATCTAATATTAAGGTTTTCAGGTTTTTTTTTTTTGATTATTTTAATTATAAAAAATAAAATAAATTATTTTAGTCACGACAAACAAAACAACACATTCAACTCATAATCATTATACTCTTTTTTCACAAAAAAGGTCAAAAAAATCAAAAAGTCAAAAAGTCCTTCTTAAACCAAGTTTTTTAACCCAGACTAAAATAGCCAAAAAAATTAAAAAGCTAAAAAACCAACCCACTTCCGAAACGAAAGTTTTAAGCAAAATTTAAAACGTGAAATCTTATATGAATTGTTATTTTCACTATTTTTGGTTTTGTTTGTATTTCACATTTTAACTTCTTCTTCTTGTTTGTTTTGTTTTGTTTTTTTATTTTTATAATATAATTTGAATTATGAATATCAATAAGTGAATTAGCATGTGAGTAATACCATCTAAAAAAATAAAAATAGCATTTTGCAATCTAGTTCAACCTTTCATCACAATGTGGAAACCCGCCCCAAAATTGTCATTCATTACAAGATATAGGTTGATGCTAAAATGGTAATATTAAAATTAAATTTTAACAAATTATACTGTTAAAATGTTATAATTTGATATTCTATTTGATTATAACAATTTCTTTATTAATTTTTATTTAAAATTCCAAATAAAAACTCTATTGGTGAATCCATCGTGAGAGTGATAAAAAAAAAACTTTTAGCTAAATTTTGATAAATGTCAAACTTATATCAAAATCAAACTTTATGCTAAATTTCATATAAGATTTGATAATGTTACAATTTTAGAAGATTGATGTGCTTAGGAATTACTAAAAAAAAGTCTTTTTTTTTGGGTTAGTACAAACATTGAATTTTTTTGATATTTTTTTATTATTTCTTAACTCTTTATTTTTATTTTTAACTTATTTCTTTGCATGATTGAATGCATAAATTACTTGTACCTTTATTATTTTGTAATTATTTTTTCACTCTCAACTTTTTTGATATTCTTCCTTTTTTAAATATACATGCACTTTTATTTATAGTTATAAGAAATATTGATGGAACTGAATTGACCGATCAAGATAACATCAATTTTTTTGTCCATATTTTATAACGTATGGTCTCTTTTTTGTTTTAAATTTTTTTACACTGATGCAAATCAAACTGACCAAATATTATATTTAAATACTTTTATATTAAATTTTTGTGTGTAAGAAAATTTTCAATTTTATAAAATAAGTGACCAATATGATACACTTCTGTGATAAAAATTAAAGAGGGAGATATATACTTTCCTACTTTTGTTCATTTATTTTCGATGCAAAATTTTACAAGCTTTATAAAATCATTTCAAACCTCATGTAAATATTTCTTCTATATCAAGCTGAAAAAATATAAAAAAAAATGGAACCATAGTATATGGTCAGTGTCAATTCCTCCAACGATAAAAATTGAAAGATTCAATTCTGTGCTAATTTTTTTTTAACACTGACTAAACAAACCATTTACCCCATACTTTTTAATGTAATTGGTATTATTTGAGAAGTTGACTATTTGACTTTCTAATTATTTTAGCTTGGCTAAAATAATTGTGTTTGGAAAGATAGTTGATTTTTTTTACAGTTGATTTGATAGTTATGAGAGAAAAAATGAAATGATTATGAATTGGATGTGACATTTTACCTTATTGATTATTTTAATCTATTTTTCCTTTATTAACTATTTTAGTCACAAAAAAAAAACTAAATAAATAACTTGCCAAACAGTGCCAGAATATGTGGGTTGAGCTTGATTGTGTGTAATAGGCGCAATCAAGCTGGTTGGCACCCTTGGTTTTTGGATTTTGTTTGGTTGGGCCGATTTAGGATTGCAAACGAATAGAACCAACTGAATCAAGCTCAGCTTAGTAAGAATTCGTCCGAACTCAGTTTGTTAAATTTTTTTACGTTTGATCTTGAGCTCAAACTCATTAAATTTTAAATAAACAAACTCAAACATACTAAAACTCGGCTAATAAGCCCGACTCGTTAGCTAACTCATTTAACATTTATTGTTTATATATTAAATAATATAAAAATATGTATAAAAAATAAGATAAATATGTTATTTATATATTGAAAAAATATAAATGTGATTAATAGTTAACTATAGATAACACATTTATATAATAGTGGTGGTAGATATTATTATTTTGTAAAATATTAACTTTTTTTTAAGTATGTTTATATATATTGTATATATAATTGTAGAATTAAAGTTTTAATTGTAATTTTAGTTTCATATGCAAGTATGAATTTATAATTTTTTTTGATTCGTTAAGCCTCGTGAATAGACTCGAACTCGAGTCAAGCCTAAGCCAACTCGGATTGAGCTTGGTTCATTAAATTTTTATTGAACTTGGGCTTGAGCTCAAGTTCGAACTCGTTAAAATCTTAATAAACAAGTTCAAACATGTTAAAACTCGGTTCGACTCGTTTACAGCCCTAAGCTAATTGGCCTATATTCTTTTTGGCCGATTTTTTCCCCTTCATGTGGTTAACTTTTAAAAATTTGACCCTATTAATAATTTTATAAAAAAAAGAAATCATAAATGACATAAAAACAACTTGGAATAATAATGGCCTAAATATTTTTACGATAACCAAAAATTTGCATGTATATGTAATATTTTAATATTTTGTAGTATATATTTTGAATTTTCCATTGTTGGAATTGTTTGTTATATCTATTATTTGTAAGCTTTTAAATTATTAGTCAAGTCCAAGTCAATACTAAATTTAAAAATATGTTGCTGGAAATTCAAAAAATAATTTGAATAGGGTTGAAATTTCTTAGGTTAGGCTAATATTTAAGAGATGGGCATTTACAGGCGGTCCTAACCAGATTTATTTACCTATAAATCTTGATTAATAAATTTATTTATTAATATCCACTATTTTTATCCATGTGCACTCACTCACTCACAAGAATCTACAATCCTTTTCCACACACATAAAGAACAAAAGAGACTGATAAATTTATTATTAAAAAATAATTTTGGATATGATAGATCTGATTTCAGAGAGAGGGAATGAGAGATTTAGAGAGTTACCATTGTTCCGAGTCATTTAGTGTCGATTTCACCATTTAAAACAAAGGAGGCAGTAGTGATATGTTGATTGTGTAGATGGGCAACGCTAATAATGTGGTGAATAGATTGGTAATGATGGAGATAGTTGGAGAACAGTAACGGTATTCAAATAACGACAATGATGGTAATGGTAGACGACAGTGGTGGTGGCGGGCGGATGGTGGCAATAACCATGGTATTGTGAAATTTTTGAAAAAATAGCAAAAAGATAAGAAGATAGAGAAAGAAAAGAAGATAAAAAAAATTAATAGATAATAATTTAATTTGGACATGGCTCCTATCTGGAGAGGAGTGTTGGGCATTTTTAGGTGTTAATTTGGCCTATATCGATAATTCGAACCGTTCAATATATAGAACTCGTCGAGTATATAATTCGAACCGTTCAATATATAGAACTCGTCGAGTATATTATTTTTGTAAAAAATTACGTTGATTGAATATCGATAACTACTTGATCCAATTGCATTTCTGTTGTAATTTACTTCGAAAATTATATTCAAAAATTATTTTAAAAATGTAATCTAATCAGATAATTATCGATATTCAATTAAAGTGATTTCTTGTACAAATAATATACTCAACAAATTCTATATATTAAATGGTTTGAATCATCAATATAGATCCAAATCAGGCCTATAAATGCCCAACACTCCTCTCCCTGTCCAATTTAATGAGAACAAGACAGAGATTAAGATTTGTTAGTGCATTAAAAAAGTGATTCAATGGGACTAATTAGTAATTACCCTTTAAGGGATGAAATAAAACTGCAAGAAATTCATCCATAAATAGAATAGAATATCTCTTTCTCTTTACGATTTTGCAGTCTCCGGTCAGATTAATCTGCATTCCAAACCAACAACCAAACTACACACACCCAAAGCGCACGCGCCTATCTACTACCTCATCATAAGCGGTTTCCCGAGCTGTTTTTTCCCCGTAAACCACCTCATTAAACCGCTTTTCCTTCATAATCTGCACGTCTACGCCTTCCTCCTCCGAAGAAACTCTCTCTCTCTCTCTCAACAGTTGAAGTCTCTCTATCTCTATAGTCTGTCTCTATAGTTTCAGTCTCTATATAGCTCGTTTGGCAAGTTCTACACCGGACTGTATAACTCTCGATCTCCATCTATAATTTTGAATTTTGTTTCTCTCTCTATATTTACATGTCATATCTCTAGTCTCTCTCTCTCTCTCTCTCTCTATATATATATATATATGTATTCACTATATGTGATGCGAGTATTGTCGTCGTGAGAGAGCATTTTTCTCGATGGCTTTTCCGAACCACCAGTCTCAGGAAATGGCGTTCTCTGACCAACACTTAGCCGAGAACACGTCGGTTTTACGAACTATATTGCCTGAACAGCTCGGCCAGTCCGCCGGAAATCCGCAGGAGCATCACCACCAACCGCCGCAACAACCACCACAACAAGTCGGTGTTGGACCGACATGGCTTAACAGCGCGATTCTCCGGCAGCAGAACCAGTACGGTGACGGTAATTTCCTCAATTTACACACCAATTCCGATTCGACGACCACGTCGCAGCAGCAGCAGCAAGGGTCGAATCAGTGGCTCTCGAGATCAATTCTTCAGCGCAACGAAGTGCAGGTCTCGAACGATTCGATGATGGCTGCTGCGGCGATATCGCACGAATCGGCTGATTTGAACAACAATAAAGTGGAGAACAATGGAGGAGAGATAACAGGGAGCGATGTTCGTGGTGGCGAGGGAGTTATGAATTGGCAGAGTGCTAGGCTCAAATCTGAAATTCTGGCGCATCCGCTTTACGAGCAGTTGTTATCGGCTCATGTTGCGTGCTTGCGTATCGCAACACCGGTGGATCAGTTGCCGAGGATTGACGCTCAGCTCGCTCAATCGCAGCACGTGGTGGGGAAGTATTCGGGTCTCGGCCATGGTAGCATTGGTGATGATAAGGAGCTCGATCAATTCATGGTAAGTAATTAAGCTTGTTGTGCTCTGTTTTATCTATATTTTCTCTGATAATTGCTTCTTGTGCTCTGTTTTGTATTATTCTTTTTGCTGTGGATGTTATTAATTAGGTGATATGTGTATGCTATTTATGAAACTGAAGATGAGTTTATTATGGGTCTTGTTTCTGATTGTTTTGACATCCAATTTTGTCTATATGCTGTCAAAAATCAGAACATAACAATTCATCAGGGCGAAAATTTTGCTTGCTATAGATTATTTTTTTAAATCAATTTTGATCAATATCCTCTTGACAAGTAAATATTATAGGGAAAATATTGGTTATTTTTGTTCTTTATGTACTTGTTGCGTTCGTATGGATCTGCATTGTAATGTGAAGAGTGGCTGGAACAAGGGCATCAAACGTTTTGCTCATAAAATTAAGTTATTTTAGGAACTTATAGTATTGTTATACTATATTGGATGAGAGGTCTTGATTAGTTGTCTTTGCTCTTAAATTAAGTTCTTGGTAGGAACTTTAAAGTATTGTTTTACTAAATTATATGAGAGGTCTTGATTTGCAGTGATAGGCAATTACTTATTGGAGCTGAGACTGTTGATATGAAAAAATTGCCAATATTGCTGCTTATTCATTGAGTGTTACTCATGATTGAGAATCTTTGAACTGCAGTTTTGAGAAAATATTTACTGAATTTGGATTACATGGGGGCGAAAAATTTAAATTTGGAACTACGTAGTAAAAAAATTTCAACAGCATACTTCTCACGATAATGGACTGACTCTATGAGCAATGACTACAAAATGCACCGCTGATGATGGAGATTGCCGTAAACTGAGGTTCTCCTGAAACCTAAGAGTCTGTGAGCCTTGCTCTTGACCTTAGATACGATTAGAATCAATAGCAACGCTTTCTTCTTCTTGTTCTTCTTTAAGAAATTAATTGACGCGAACAATAAATCTCATAACCTCTGATTGAGAAAGCTTTGAAGTTGTTATGATAATATAATTATTGCATTTTTCAATTGAGGATACCCTGAACTCATATTTGATTGAAGTTAGTTAGTTAATCAATTAGGGAAATGTGATATTAATTTTACCATTTATATAAAACGCATCTAAATAAAGTTTTAAGAGTGTAATGCATTCACAAAATTAAAAGATGTAGAAAGTAATGATGATGTGACTCAAAGCCAAGATCATTTTCAATGAATCTGAAAGTTGAAGCAACAATTTCATTAAATATTTTTTACTGTCAAAGATGATCAGCATATGCTACTAGATGATTCTGTTGCTTTAAAGTCATTTCCAAGTAAAGTCGTTTCCAAGATAACCAAACACATTATTGTCTCTCTGCGTCGCATCTTAATTGGACATTTCAAACTGTAGACCTATTAACAATGAGAATAAAGGCATTTTAATAATGATTAGGTTAGGTGTACGACGAGTATGTGGAAAAACATGAACTCATTGATTAACTCCAATTTTAGGGTTTTAGTTTCCTTAAGAAGGTAGTACAACTAAATGCATTAGTTAACTATTTTGTGTTGAATTAAAACTGCTTCAATTCTTAGGCTCTTGTGGATGAATTTGAGTTTTCTCTATTGGAAATTCTACAAGAGCTTGAATTGGTTCCCACATCTAGAGAACTTGGATTGAATGGTAGTAAAATTTTCTTAATGCCATACATTTTGGATTTTTAGTTAATTAATTAATTTATTTCTCCGAGGTTTGAGTGCTTTAATTGAGAGTCATTAAAGGTGTTTCGTCACTGACAAGAGTCTACACTTGTACATCAGCTATATTGTGTAAACATAGCGGCATACATCCTGCAACCCTGTTAATTAAATGGAAAGAGGTTAAAGAACTTGAAAGCAGAATTTCCTGATAATAATAGGGTTTCTCATTTTTTGTACCTATAAATTTGTAGGAAGAAACTTTCCTAGAGATAAAACTACTATTCTTCATGGGTGGATGGATTTTATATGGATATATTTCATATGAATAACTCATGGATGTGGTAGTAGAAGAGTTCTTCTATTTTTCCCTGTGGTAGTTTTGCACTAAATAGTATTTTATGATAAATCCCCAGCCGAGGAAAATTGGATTGTGGGCACAAAGGATTGAATCTGCTCTCAATTTCAAACTATATACTAGAACAGTAATGAGTGATCTTTATTGATCTCAATGATATGGAAACTTCCAAGGTTACAATTTCAGGAATGACAGAGTCATAACTTTCATCTTCTGCAAGGTATTAAACTGGTGTATTATGATTGAAACTTGTTTAGAAGTGATAATCTTGCCTTAAAGATGGATAGTGATGGTATGCAAAATGAGAACATAATTTGGAATCTAATGTGCCTTGTTAAGGAGTTGTTTTAGTTCTTTCAATTATCCGATTTCACTTTTTTTGAATGCCAAAGTCAGTATTTGGTGGCAGATACTTGAGCATATTCTGAGACACTGATTAAGAACTTGAGTCTTGCAGATCACATGGTGTTCTCAAGCTCTATGGTGCTCATGTTTTTGTCATGACATTAGAGCCATATAATATTTTCTCATTCTGCCTAATCACAAATCTGTCATATAAATCCACGAAAGCAGTTGCTGAAACCTGAATATAAACAGAACTTTATGAAGACTACTATATATGTTTAGGTTCTTAATTGATTTTTTGGGAGCTAAATATAATGAATTGCGTGGAATTACAGTTCTTCATTCCACTGGGTTTTGCTTATGTACTGTTTGAACATATGATTCCTCTTCCCTTCAGAACTGGTCAATGAATAAATAAAAAAAAAAGAGAAGTTTATTCTCATTTTTTTCAGTACACATGAGATTGAATACTAAAATTTGGTCAGAAAGAATTTATACACCCATTTCTCTGGAAATAAATCTAGTTCTCCGGTGTTTTACAGTTAAGTTGCCTAAATGATCAAATAGTGAACTGCTATTTGGGAGGAAATATTAGGATATCCAACTTCCCACTACTTTTCTTTTTGTCATTCTATGTCAGGCTTTTTGGGATCTTTAGTTGACATGGTGGAATTATGAATCATTTTGTAAAAATAAATCTGCAAAAAATTCTTGTGTCAACAGAAAACACCAAGCACGATGCAGACTCCTTGACGCTTCACATGATGATTAGCCGATCTTTTTACAAGTCCTGATGAACTTTGCTTCATGCTTGGGAGCCATTTTAATATTTGTCAAAATAATATATTCTATGGATTATAAAACCTAAATTCTTGCAAGAATACAAGTAACCATCAATACGCTTATGTACTCTTGCTCTGTTCTTTTAAAGAACAACTGCAACAACATGTTCGTGTGCATGCAATGGAAGCAGTAATGGCTTGCTGGGAGATTGAGCAATCCCTACAAAGCTTAACAGGTATGTTCATTAGTTATTCTTTCTAGATTTGTTCATTTCTCAGATTTCTTGTGTACTCCAATAGATTCCAGGTTTCCCCAGAATTTGAAATCCTTTTTCCGCAGGCCAATTTTTACTTGCTTTCTTGTAATGATGTTGATTATCATACAATTTTTTGACAGTTCAAGACCTTTAGTGCTGTTACTTACATTGGAGTTTACATAACTTCTCATGACCTTACATTTTTCTTTAGTTTGTTGATATGAATTAAGAATGGTACATATCACCTTCCTTGGTAGGTAGGTAGTGATATTTTGCTTTTGAGGAAGAAGAAAACTTCAAAACAAAGAACAGGACTACTGGGAAGGTTTCTAATTTGGTTTTCCAAATCCAAAGAATCCTCTGGACTCTCAGAGCATAGCCCTTTACTAGGTTGAATGAGTTTATTGCTTGTCATCCACCACCATTGGCATCTTGACTAAATCCAATAATTTGCCCTAAAGCCCAAGGCCTCATGAAATCATTGCACTTCATTCTTAGTTTTCAATGCATATGTATACTCAGCCTCAGCTTAACTACACATGAGCACATAGATACTTCATTCTGTGACCCAGTTAACTGGCAGGTCAAAGCTAAGAATTTCGTTTTTTATTTTTTAAATTATTATTCTTATTCTTATTATTTACTTCAGTGAAGATAATGTATTTTCCATGTAGATTATTTTTCTAACTCCTCTGGTGGCAAGACTTATATTTAGGCCTCGTTTGGCATGTCAATGTTTTAGCTTAAAAGCCTAAAAGTTACTAAAAAAATCAAAAAGCCTATAACCTATACCAAAAAGTCAAAGATTCCCTTTTCTCTCTACTTCTTGCACATCTTTTCGTAAAAAATCAAAAAGCCATTCTAAACATACTAGTTTTTTTTTACCTCATATTTTAGCCAAAAAACCAAAAATTTACTAAAATAGCCTATTCCCAAATGAGGCCTTAGTATATGAGAATATAAAATCATTTAGGCACAAACTCTTGTCGAGCAGTTGATTACTTATTGTGTGTGAGATAATTCCTATGTCAACTCCATTGAGAAGCATGAATAGTTTTTTTTTTACCTCATATTTTAGCCAAAAAACCAAAAATTTACTAAAATAGCCTGTTTCCAAATGAGGCCTTAGTATATGAGAATATAAAATCATTTAGGCACAAACTCTTGTCGAGCAGTTGATTACTTATTGTGTGTGAGATAATTCCTATGTCAACTACATTGAGAAGCATGAAGCAAAAAAACTATGATTAAAATTCCCACAAACATCAATAGGCTTCGATTTTTAGATGCTCAAATCAACACTTCCATTACTCCTAAAATTATGTTGTGTTGCTACTTGTTAGTGAATGCATTCTAATATGATCTACATAATAAAATACCTTTCAAAAAAAAATCCTTTTTGTAGCATAATTTCTGAATTTGCAGAAGGAAACTGGAAGTGTGGAATTGTTTTTCAACAGATGATTATTAATAATTGAACCCTCCGAGAACCAGCTTGAGGCTCGACAAATGAGGAAGCATATATAAGTGCTGCGAGAAAGTATTGAGATAAAGGTTTTGGGTGTAGTGCTGCACAATTTTTATATGCATGAGAATGCTGTATTAGCCCATAACACTTAGTGATATGAGTCCCTTGCTTCTGGACTACTTCATGTTCAATATTTTCCATTCTATCTGTAATTAACATTTCGAAGACTTCAATGCTACTATCTATCTTCATGGATATAACCCACCCAAAAAAAAAAAATATCTTCATGGATATTTCTCATTACACTGTTTTTACTAGCAAATTCTCCTGTGTCTGGCATGCTAATATTCTTTCTATTACTTATAGAGGAATTAGTGATTGCTTTAAAAAAATGTACTCTGCATGGTATCTATCTGATTCTTAAGCCTTTCCGTATGACGGTTTATGACATTTCACAAGAAGCACCTGTAACTGAATACCTAGTGTGGCTGTGATGACCCTTGAGAACCATGATACATGCGTATACATTTTTATAACACGGAATTGGTTACGTTTGATTTTTTTTTTTTTGGTCTGACCAAATGTAGATCACTTGTCCTTATTGAGATAAATATACAATATCTAAAAAAAAAATTGTCAAAGGAACACCTATTGCTTTGTTTCTTCTGCAGATAAACCTATTCTTATGGTAAAGTAGCAAGATTCAAGAATCAAAAGCATAATGAAAAATTATAAAATGGAATTGTACTTTACCATGTTGAACTCCATGCTGTTTAATCTTGAAATACTAAAGCAAATTCTGCTTAACATGGTATATGAACAGGTGTTTCTCCTGGAGAAGGCACAGGGGCAACAATGTCTGATGATGACGATGACCAAGTAGACAGTGACACAAACTTGTTTGATGGAAGTTTGGAGGGTGCTGACATCTTGGGTTTTGGTCCTCTCGTCCCAACAGAGAGTGAAAGATCCTTGATGGAGCGTGTGAGGCAAGAGCTGAAGCATGAACTGAAACAGGTGGGAGACAAATATTTGATTGTGGACACTTTTCTATGCATATATTGCCGTCAACTAATATTTTTTTTCTTTTTTTTAAATTTTTTTTTATAGGGTTACAAGGAGAAAATCGTTGACATTAGGGAGGAAATCTTACGCAAGAGAAGGGCAGGAAAGCTCCCTGGTGATACCACTTCTATGTTGAAGGCTTGGTGGCAATCACATTCTAAGTGGCCGTACCCAACTGTAAGTTTTCATGATTGAGAAGCACAATGACCTTTGGCTTTGAATGGGTTGCTTTCGTGCTATTAGTTTCAAATTTGGTAGGTTAAAGCACTAATGGGTAAGCATGAAGCTCGAACTAACCATGGTTATTAGTTTGGACTTGTGCTAAAAGTTTCGGGCAAGTTTGCTCTATGTGCTCTCCATAAAATTAAAAGGACACTGAATTTGCCTTTTATTGTTTGACTAAATTGATCTGTGATACTGCATGCTGCAAGAATTAAGTGGTGAGTTTGTTGATACTGCTTGCCGCAAGAATTAAGTAGTGAGTTTTTCTAAATCACCGTGATTAATTGTTGTTCTTTCAGGAGGAAGACAAGGCAAGATTGGTCCAGGAAACAGGGTTGCAATTGAAACAGATAAATAATTGGTTCATTAATCAGAGGAAAAGGAATTGGCACAGCAATTCTTCCACTTCTACAGTCTTGAAGAGCAAGCGCAAAAGGTATGCCAATTCGAGCACATGTAATTTCATCATTTTATATTTGTCGAGGGCTTTCGCCAATCTTAGTTTGAAACAAAGTAATGCAGGTGACAACAGCGGTGATTGTTTCATGTGAGTGAAGGACAAATTCGTAACACAATCAACAATATATTTCTTCATGCCTCCACTCCAGTGATAATCCAGAATCAGTACATGTATCTACATAACAAAATAGGACAGTATAGTGCTGCTTGTGAACATTACAGCGTGCAAATGAGAGAATAGGTACACAGGTATGTATGCACAAAGGACTGCAGATGGTATACTGTATGTGCTGTGATGTCATTAGGAAGTTCAATTATTAGAATATATGACAAAACTGAGTTGGGTAGCATCATATATTTGCGGTTCATGATTTTGTTTACGTTTTACATATCTGTGAATAAGAATAGAGACGGGTTGTGGGTGTATAGTGTAATAATCTCTTTCATAGCAATCATAAATTTTCTAGCAGTGTTTAGTAATGTAGTCTTAATAGTTGTTGCATCTGTTGAATGTATTTAGTAGTTACAATATTTTTCTTCTTTCCCTTTTGGCATATTTTGACACTATTAGAAGTCGTCAAGTGTCCTCTTAGTCCAATTTTCCTTCATTGTAACAGTTGTATTTTTAGTTTGGGAAAAAATTGAGGCATCATGTCTGATATGGGTATGTGTATATATATATGGTTATGATAGGAAAGAGCGGATGATGTTAGTGATGGTGTTTTTTATTTGATGATGATGTTTATATAGGGAGTAAGGGTGAAGAAATTTTTTCATGTTGGGGTGTAAAAGTCTCAAGTTAAATCAGTGATGGTTAAATTGGAAATTTTCTTCATTGGATGTTAACATACTAGCAGAAAAAGCTTTCAGGGTGTCTTCTGTGCACGAATTTGCATTATCAAATTTTCATTTAGTTCTTGTTTGTGTAACTTTGAGTAGAATTTTGGCACTAGGCAGGACACCTGATTTAGGATTTTGTTTGGGTATATAATAGGAGTCTTTCGGGGTTTAGAAAAACAAGCCTTTCTCAAAGTCCTGGATTCGTGTCAAGGTCAATACGATTGAAAGGGTCTAGGGTTTTGAAACAAAAAAGTTGACATTGAATTTAGATGTCTATATATGAACATTTTGCTGCCCAATTTAGATTATGGTAAGAGCTTCAAATGAAACACTGGTCTTGTTAAGCAAGATGGTATCAACAATGAGGAGATAAAACAAATATTATGGGGCTTCTTTTGGGAAGAACTTGGGGCAAAAAGAAACAAATGGCGAAATTCAGAAAATTGCTATGGAAAGGATGCTATTGTCAGACATTTTCTTTTCTTTTCTTTTACTCTGCTCTTTCTGAGATCCCAAAAGTGTGGGCAACCAAACATGTTTGCAGGCTCTTACTGATGCAACAGTTCTTTTCCTGGGGGCTCTGGAGAAGCAATTAGTTCCACTTTTTTTAAACGGTGTGGTGGTGAAATTTTAATTGATCACATCATATCACATATCACACAAGGATCAGAATGGTGAATAGAATAAAATTTTCGTAATTTTTTCACAACAACAGAGCATCTTGGATTTATTGGAAAGAAAATCATTTATATATTATTTATTCTCTTATTTAAAGATAACTAAGAAGTTAATTGGGTTTCTAATAAATATATGGGTACTACATCCATAAATCCAATTTCAAATTTCATTTGGAAGTTCAGCCGCTCAAACACTTTGTCCTTTTGTCCTTTTGTCCATAAGGACAAGTGTAGATAAAATGACCAAAGTACCCATGGTATATATATATATTGTGACGCTCCAAATTTTTGGAACATCAAGGGAAATTAAATAAACAAAATGACTTAAGGCCTCGTTTGGGAATCGGCTAATTTAGTAACTTTTTGGCTATTTGGCTAAAATATGAGCTAAAAAAAATTAGTATGTTTGGAATGATTTTTTGACTTTTTACGAAAAGATGTGTAAAAAGTAGAGAGAAAAGAGAATATTTGACTTTTTGGTATGAGTTGTTGGTTTTTTGGCTAATTTAGTAACTTTTTGACTTTTTGGCTAAAAAGTTTGGTTGCCAAACGAGGCCTTAATAAACTAAAAAGTTGACATCTTAATAGGGTAATCCAACTCTCGTACATAACCAAACGTCCAAACAATCAATAGATAAAAATTTAAAATTATCCAAATACAACATTAAATGAAATTATAAAGTCCTTAATAGCTATTATATAAAATAATATAATTTATTCGGCTCTACTCGGGGTTTCAGGTCAGCCAAAGCTCTACGTTAGCGTCGACTTCATTTCAACTTCAATTATTTTCTCGCCAAGACCTGGCATAAAACGCCAGGGCAACAAAAATAGATGTCATGAGTTTTGCAACACAGTAAGAAAACATAACCAACCTACCATTCTTTTTAAGAGAAAAATAATAATATTCTAAATATGAGATAACAATATAATTATACACAGAAATTACAACCGTTAGAATAAGTTCAGTAATTTTAATAAATTAGGTGACACTCGAAATCTCACCAAAGAGATTTAACTTACCAACCACTAAGCATGGTAACAGTTAATTTGAAACCCTCCCTTGGTCAAATATTCAAGTGTTACCAACTGTAACTACCAGGGATGTCCACGTTCGAAGTGATATACCCAAGTAGTGGCATCCGTGGTCAGCCCCAAGGAAACGGTCTGCCAGGAGTACGTAACCTTCCTGTGTGCCACCGGCACATCCACCCTTATTTCAAAACCAAATACCGAAAAGGGTTCAAATAAGTCCCGTGCCATCTTAGAGTTTCGCAACACAATTTACGTGAGAATTCTTAAAACCAGGGCTCACCCTGAACAACCGGTGTTAACCGTCAACCCTTAATTCCGCACAGTCTTTAAACCAAGACTCATTCCGAACAACTGGTATTAACCGTCAATTGTTAACTTTGTATATGCCGTTAATCATTTCAGTTAATTTTGATATTAATCACAAATAATTCCAAACCTTTAATCACAAGTAATGTTATACCAACTCATTAAAATTCTCAATCATAAAATATTGCATGTGTCACACAATACTAAATAAAAGTACAGAATTTAAATAAACAATTTATTTAAACCATGGTATGAAATAATAACTTAGATACAAGAATTAAACCATAAATACACACATGCACCAATTTTTGATTTACAAAATTGGACTAGCATAATATTAAAGTGGTGATTTTATCCTGTCTAGAAAAATTTTCAGAGTATATATCTTGCAAAGAAAATTATAAATACATTACTTATACAACTCTAAAATTCATATCAATCTACAGGATACTCAATAAACATGTTATGGTTATTTTTCAAAAAGCATTTTCCAAAAATAACTTATAAATAATTCTAAACAAATTCCAAAGGTGTTTATGACACAGATTTGTCACATTTCCTTACATTAATTCCATGCTTAAATTTATAGATCAAACCCATAATCTAAAATTTTATCATAAAACTAGACTTCTCAAATTTCATATTTTAGTTAGAAATTACCAGATTTGGCTTAGTATAGAATTTTAAATAAATTTTCAAATACACGGTAAAATCTGTCTCACAGTTTCAGATTTAGTTAGAAATTTGTATAAATTCGTAGAAAGCTCAAAAATTATTAACAAAATTCCTGGACGAACTAGACGTCATTATCAACAACTTTGTAGAAGAAATCATCTCGAAATTTTGAGCATAAAATTGTCTAAAAATTCAAGTGACATTCTGGCAGATTCAAAATAGACTATTTTTTTTCAATCTTCTCTTTAAATGTATAAACTACACATGCAAGTTTATTTTTTTACAATAATAGGATGATTTTAAGACTGTCAACATCTTCAAACACTTCATATACACATCACAAAATTCCTACACATATATATAAAA